GCCAACTTTTTCTGTTGACGGGAAGGACCCCATGTCCAATTTTCCCTCTTCTCTGACCTCCCCTCGGTAAATGTTGGGAACGGCGCCTCCACTAGGTTCCTGATATAGAACCACTCTCCATGCCACCCTCGGTTGGAGTCACTAGGGGAGTACAAGGGGTAGGGGATCGATGGCTTTGGCCTCTTCTATAGGGCAAACCCTCCAACCGGTGCGGTTCTAGGTGGTTTCCCCTCGGACAGGGCTCGCCCGATGAAGACTCGCTAGAATAGATCTGCATGTGGCTCCATCCCAAGGAAGGCCTCGCAGACGGTGATGAAGCTAGTGATGTGCAGCACCCCAATTGGGTTGAGGTGCTGCAACTCTAGGCCCCACTCGTTGAGGAGACCGCGCAAAAACCAATGCGCGGGGTACCCGAGCCCGCGCTCGTGGAAGGCGAGGAAGGAGATGACCTCGTCGGCCCAAGGTCACAGAACAACCTCCCCCGGTGCAGGAGCCCACCAGTGCGCCACCTCCTTTGATGGAAGCAGCCCCTTCATGGTGAAGTCGGCCAGCACGGCCTCATCCACGTTGGAAGGCCTCTAGTTCGACATCGCACCTCGGATTTACGAACGGATCTATGAGTTTTTCCTCTCCCTCGCTCTGCTCTCCTCTCTCCTAGAAACTGCCACGGCACACAAACAAGCTTGACGAAAAGGAGGAAGAAGAAATGGCAATGGTTAAAGAAAGGCAAAAGAACAGGAGGAAAACCCTCCCTCTTCCCCCTATTTAATGCAGAAAGGCGTGCGGCGGGACGTGACCCTAGCTGACGGGACGTGGCCTATCCGATGGAACATCGCCTGGCTAACGGGACGTGGCCTGGGCAGGGCCCACCACTACCGCAACCCGGGCATGGGAAATGAGGCGCAACCACACACAAATGACCCTTCACCTTCCTAGGCAGGGTTTGGAGGGGCCCACCGATGGAATCTCTATCAAGGAGAGGCCAGCAGGTCACCCGGGTTGATTAGACAGCTCGGGCAGCTGCCAGGAGACAGGTAAGGAGCAGTGGAATGCCCCATGCGGGTTATGCTGACTCTGTCATGAACGACGGACCCGGATTACACTTAGACATATCCGATAGAAGCTCCCCAAACCCGTCACTCCAGCCATTGAGGTAACTTTACCTACCCCCATTTTACTTTCCCAGTGCATGAGCATACATTCATCCATTCTCATGCATGCATTCGTACATTCATCCATTCTCATGCATGCATTCATACATTCAGTCATATATTCATCCATACATTCATCCCATACAGCGAAGCATTGCATATGCAATTGATGCATCACAACGCTTCTCATTCGATATGAGCGGCGACCGACCGGGGTTCGAAGGCCAGCCCATGAACGGCTCGAGTCCACCTCGTGTCAAATAGAGCTAGGGGAGAAAACACAGATGAGCCCTAGCGGCCCTCGTCTGACCCACTCAAGAGCAGACAGGGTCATCTCAACCTTCTCATTTGATCCTGACCTCGAGCCATTCCCACAGAATCTCCATCGAGGGGAGGCCATCGGGCCACCTGAGTCGCTCTTTGGAATGACTCGGGCATCTGATAGGAAGCAGGTTAAGGAGAAGTGGAGTGCCACATGAGGGCTATGCCGACCCCGTCACGCACGATGGATCCGGATTCCACTCGAACATACCCGTTAGCAAGCTCACCGAAGCTCGCCACTCGAGCCATCAGGGCAAGCGACGTTAGCTCAACCCCTCTGGTTGTGGAAACCACGGACAGGGTGACGCAGGAAACCATGCGACCGATCCCAACCGACCCCTACCGTGGAGGCGCTGCCAGGTCTCAACTCAAGAACCCGACCGACCGCACAGGTTGCGGTCGGAACGAACATGGGCGAACACCCCGATCGGAAGAGACACAAGAGTCCGCATCCCTGAAAAGAGTACCATGGTGCTCAGTCTCCGACCGTCTCCCCAATCGGCCGCGGGCTCAGGGGCAACACCCACTGGGTGCGCTCGCGTGCACCCGGCGGAAAACGGATTACCAGCGAGTCTCCTCCTCAGGGGCTGGGCACCAATGTCCCTCTGGCGTGCCTTCACGGCCTTTGCCAGTCCTCCCCATGGAGGCTGGGCGCCCGTATCCACTCTGCGCACCTCTGCGGCCTTTACCAGTCCTCCACATGGAGGCTGGGCGCCTAAATCCTACTCGGTTACCCTATGCAGTACAACAAACCAAGGGGAAAATCACCGAAGTTCCAATAAACAGCCCGCCTCCACGGCACAATGGGTACAGGAATTACAAAGCGAATACAAGCTTTCATTAAGCTAAAAACACAAGCCCTGGCTTTTACAATATCACGCAAAACGTTTGTGAACAGCCCCTTCACGGCTTCACAAAAGTCCCAAAGGGGCTCGGGGGCTCCTGTCAGGTTCATAAATCCGGGGTCCCCAATGGATCCGCTTCCCCGCAAAACCTGGCCCGGTAGGCAGTGCAGCGACAGCACGCGCCTGGGCCGACCCAGATACATAATGACAGGCCAAGACAATGATCCGGTTCTCGACCGGAAGGCCTGGCCGAGGTGGGACCACAATCCGACTCCAACCCCCTTTCTTCGACCGAGGATACACTGGACCTCTGCTCGTTGCTCTTTCCCAACCGACACGGTCAGGGCCGACTAAGAACGACTGACTAGGGACGCCCGCTTGGTGTGGGCCTGGGGAGCAGGCGGAGCAGATAAGGTAAGGCGCTCAAGTCAATCGCAATACCGAGGACCGTACCCTGCCATGCCCTGCGCACCTGCAGGACGGTGCCATCGGGGCATGTCAGGCGAACACGGTAGAGCCTGTCAGACGCGTCAGATCATAAACAGTATTGTGGACGCCATCGTTTGCTGTACCAAGCGAACATGGTAGAGCCTGCCAGACGCGTCTGAACATAAACAGTATTATGGGCACTGACGGCCATCCCGTACCCGATGACGTGGGAACAAGACTAGGCAGCGCCCGTATGAACTCTCTCTTTCTCTCTGACTTGTAAGGCCATCCCCTTCAATTATAAAAGGGGATACACTCTCTCCTACCAAAAGGACAGGAGCTTCGAACCCCCCGAAGACTCGACAACTCGAGGACAACAACACAACGGCTCTAGAGCTCGACATCTACACAATCTACACGCTCTCAACAGCTGATAAGCTCGAACACACAGAGCATATGCTCCAATACTTAGCGCACGTTTGAGCATCCGTCACTCTCTGCCACTCGGCTCAGAGTCCGACCGGACCTCTAACACCCCATTCTCATTCCTTACTCGTTTGTAACTCCACAGCAAACTTCGAGCACCTAGGCTTAGGAATAAAGTCACCGACCGACCTTAACTGGACGTAGGGCCTGTTGCCTGAACCAGTATAAATCCTGTGTCATTGAGTGCTAGACCATATCCGATCACACCACACGGCAAAACTATAAATATTTACTTGTTGGCCACATTTCGCACCGACGACATCAAAGTTCATTGTTTTCCTAGTCCAACCAAATTTGATCAGCAAAACATATTCAACACTTAATTTGTATTGTGCATCTATATTTCATTAATCAAATGATTTATCATTCCACCCTCAAAACAATCAGGTAAACATATTTGTCGGTTTAAATATGTTCTACCGTGTAGAGAGATACCGAAACATCATGTCCAAAAGATTCTTATATATCTTCAATGTACTAAAACTACTTTATACTACTACTGTTTGAGCGAACTCCACCAACTCTACCATAATATACTAGTACTGTTGGCAGCAACGTGTTTACCACTGTTTCTACAGTATCTTGAGTGTTGCATTCCTAACCGAAGTGGCTGCGGCTGTAAATATGGATACTGAACAGGCGGTGAAGTTCCAGATGCCACACATTATTCACCGTAATTATTAGGACCGGACCGGACCGATAGTCAGACCGCTAAAAGATCGAACCAAAACCTAAATAGGTCCGGTTTATTTAAAAGACCATTCGTTTCGGCTCAAGCCTCCCGGCGACGGACCTCGCTTCGCTTCATCAGAAGTTAGCCTTTATCTTGTACATGACTGAATTTGGATCACAACTCAACATGCGCTGACGTCAGTGCCTTTTAAAATTCAAGAATTTATATCTTTATCATATCAGCTCCAAATTAGTCAAATAATATATCCGTTTTGATTATCTCAACGAGCTCTTCGCAATAGTGCACTTTATTTTAACATTTAAGATTGTTTTGTAATGGTAAATATTTGAATTACTATTCAAGTCCTTTTTCACTAATTCATAAGTGCTCCATGTATTATCTTTTCATTTGTTTATATATATATATATATATATATATATATATTATAAAACAACTATAGAGCACTGAAACTTGTGGAGCTTGTATGTTTTGAATTTAAGAACATGTTATTCTCTGCATATGTATGAACCTTATGGTTGTACAATTAAATCGTGTTGTTTACCATTTATCAATTATTAATTATAGCATATACATATATGTATATGTCGGTTCAATGTATTTGTGACCGGTTCGATTTAACTTGTCTAAAATAAGTGAACCGACGGTACAACCGGTTCTAAACCGTTAAACCAGTGAACCGACGGCTTCGCACGTTCAATCTCCAGTCGGTCCTAGTAAGTATGTTATCCACCCCAGCAGCAGCAGTGAAGTTTAAGTCCGGCTTCCTGCCTTCTTTATATTAGCATGCTTTCCTCCGCTCCCATAGGCCACAGCAGCCTCGGCTCTCTCCGCCGTGCCTCCCTCTCGCCTCCGACGCGGCTTCCGGGCGCCTCCTCGCCGCTCTTCGCTCCTCTCATCTCCTTACCAGGACGCCTATCGGACCGCTGGTAGGTAATCGATGCGCAGCGATAAGCAGATAAAAGGACCGATTTATCTATTCTCTGAGTTTCCTCGCCGCGTTGCTACTCCTGGCAACTTTTGATTTCTCATTTTCTCCACGGTTTCTTCCCAGAGCTTTTTTTTTTTTGATCGCTGATGGAGCAGCAGGCGATTCAGATTTATGGACAGCCGTTGGAAGATCCGGAGATGTTTTGGGCGCCGATTGAACAAGCGGAGCAGGGACCCTATGGCTTTCTTGGCGATCTGCTGCTCAGCATCGCGAGTGGCAGCCCCCGCGGACTACAGGTAACGAGGATCGCCTCCTCTATTACACTTATCCGTTGGTCGCCAGCTGAATCTGGGCGAAAAATTGGATTTTTTTTTCTGTTGTTGGATGAATGCAACCAAGCATCAAAGTTGGCACCTTTTTACTAATCTCTGCCTGTAGTCATTTGTGAAAAAAAATTGGTGCAGGGGAGGCCACCGCCGACTGGTGTCATTTGTTTCAAAAAGTCAGTTTTTTTTTTTTTAATCTCAAATCTTCAGACCAGTATCTCTCAAACTCTGAGAAAACACCCTGCACGAAATCAGGGTATACAATCTAAACAGGAACACTTGTGTCACCTTGATCTCCAGAAGTCCAATAACAAGATCCATCTGTTGTAACAATACATCCTGGTAGTTTTTTTTTTTTTTAGCAAGATTGGCAGGGACTCTGCCTTTTCATTCAGTAGGAAGCAGTTAACAAACTGTACAACAAAGATAGTCTGAACAGAAAAGTGAAATAAAAAAAAGGACATTAAAGAAACGTAAACATAAATAGCTACAGCCATCCAAGGCCTGTAACTATGAGAAGCTATTCAGCCATTCAGGGTCCTCTCTTGCCATTTGAAACGACTGAATGCCATCTTTTATTGAATCCAGCAGACGCTGTACATCGGTAGCTTTGTTGTCGAAAACTCGCCTGAATCGCTCCTTCCATAGATTCCAAGTTGTGTATACTATGATTTGTGCACGTTTAGATTCCATAGAAAACTTTCCTGCTGTATGTCCCATGCACTGTGTTCAAGTGTGTCCACCAGTTTTTGATCCTTGATGAATGTTGGTTTTGCTTCAATCCTTGCTCTCCTGATCAGACCTCTACCTGCTGCCGCACCTGCTTGGAATAGGTGCAGTTGGCCATCCTGGTAGATCAGCCTCCAATTCTTGAGAATAGCCATCTTCTACTAAAGATTACCTGCAGAAGGTTCACGTTTGATTTGCGAAGGCACATTCTACAGCATGTTAAGTCTGGACATCCTTTAGTTACATTGAGTGAAATTTCTGGATGATCATCTTCATCACTAGTAAAATAAATAGACCCATGAGTCTCTCATCAACACGTCTGTAAAATTTCATATGTTGTAAAACAAAGGAACAGGGCAATCAATATTGACGTTATGTTTCTTACAGATAGAGAATTTTGGAGCACGCGATGAGGATGACGTTTTGATCCTACAACTGCTGGAAGGGCCCCAAGATCAGGCAAACCTAAATGATTGGTTGTCAGGTATGTGCAATGTTTAGCTGTTACTGACAATTCCCAAGGTTCCTTACACATGATAAATACCATTATGGCATTATGGCTTGGAGGAACATTTATAGAACTTTTCTTGCAGGTGATTTGCATCCATCTCCATTGTTGGACACAAATGCCCATTATCAGGTATGGTTGTCAAATTTATCAAATAGATATTCAGATGTTTAAACTTTAACCACCTGGTAGATTTTTGCACAAGTGAACTTTTAACATGCTAGATAAAGTGGACGAGATAAGGTATTGACAGTCAATTTTTTCATGGCAGACAAAATGTAGGAGAAGTGGCCGAAGAGGAACTCGGAAGAGGAGGACGTCTCCATGGGTACGCATAAGTTTATTGTGAGAACATCCCTTTAATTGAACTAACAAAAGAAGAAACCAAAAAAGTGATGAAAAAGTTGCTTGCGTACAAATGCTTGAGAAAAGTATGTGTATCTGCTTTGGAGAATTTATTAATTATTTTTCTCCATGATTAAATAAACAAAAACAGCTAATATATATTGTTTGGATAAAAAAGTACAATATAATTTTCAGGTAACCAAATTTCATTTGGTTGTCACAGAGTGTCTGAAAAAATAAATTTAATATTTTCATTGCACCCTCTTTGTTTTCAGATTCTTTCTTAGCCTATCACCCATCAGCTGAGAAATTTTACATGACTTTTGGTTGTTTGACAGAACCCGATGTTCTTTAAAAGTCGTGTTAGTAGGGAGTACACAAGGAGGAAAAATAATAGCCGGTGGACTGCTAAAGTGGAGATACTGGTACAAGGTGTCTCTAAATTTGGTGTTGGACGATGGGCCTTGTTGAAGCAGCAATTTTTCGAAACGTCAATTAGGACATCAGTAAATCTTAAGGTGAAGTATATTAGTAGTGCATTGCACTATGAAGTAAATTCATTCTTAGATGCTATTGGCTAATATGATACTCTTGTATTGTTTCATGGTTCAGGACAAGTGGAGAAATCTGTTGAAAGCTTACCAGGTCAGAATCCCATCTAATAAAAAAGTGTTGCTTCTTTAACCTTCTAATACTAACTGCTAAGTACATTTCTTGAATTCAATCCAGGGAAATTCACAAAAAACTACACAGCTGTATCTTGAGCCATCATTCGTTGAACAGATCAGGAAGCTGGCAGCAAAACAAACATATCCAAATAAAAGGCACAAATAGGAACTGCGACTTAATCGTTGTATAGACTCTAGCATGGAGTTAGCCTTATCTAAAACTAAAAGGGAAGGGAACGGTAGAAAGCAGGTTATTTATGAAATGGAGGAAGGGTTTTTGAAGTGAACATGCTGAATCTTTTACTTTTGCCCATCTCTGTCCTTTGTAAAGACCAAAACCACTCTCTGTAAAATGTTGGTGGTTCAATTTCAGTTCTTGCTCATTTGGTGCTTAACCACAGCAGGGGCACTGATCCTGCTCGTGACCACCTCTGTGAGTTCACAGGCTCTTATCTTGTTGCTGTGACTTCCATGAGCCTTTACATGGTGTTGGAAAATTTGGCTTGGTTCATTCTCTAGGAGTGGCAGCAAAGTAGCAACCTAGAAACTTACTGCTTATGAGGAGCAACTTGTAGCTGGCTTAACCCTGTTTGCCATGTCATCAGTTGGTAGAAAAAAATTACCTGAGTTCCCGTTTCTCTCTGTAGTTTGCTGTAAAGTACAGGATTTAATTTTGGTGTGTGCAAGGTTCTATTCAGAGAAATCTTGGAATATTTGAACCACTCTGAATATTAAATGCTTCATGGGAATTGTTGCAGTTGCAGGCTGGCATATACTACCCAGAAAGTAAAATGCAGTAGGATCATTTTCAAAGATACAGAATGGGGCAGCAATTGGCCAATTTGGAAAGGTATCCTTTAGCGGGACGTGATTAGACCTGCTATGTTGTATGGTGCAGAATGTTGGCCTACGAAAAGACGACATGTTCAACAGCTAAGTGTCGCGGAAATGCGTATGTTGCGTTGGATTTGCGGTCATACAAGAAGGGATCGAGTTCGGAACGGTGATATACGTGATAGATTAAGGGTAGCGCCAATTGAAGAAAAGCTTGTCCAACACCGGTTGAGATGGTTTGGACATGTGCAACGGAAACCCCTAGAGGCACCGGTGTGTAGTGGAATCCTAAGCCAAGATAGTAACGTGAAGAGAGGCAGAGGAAGACCGAAGTTGACTTGGATAGAGGTAATAAAAGGAGACTTGAAATGATGGAATATACCCAAAGACTTAGCCTTAGATAGGAGTGCTTGGAAGACAGCTATTCACGTGCCTGAACCTTGATTGCTTCTGATGGGTTTCAACTCTAGCCTACCCCAACTTGTTTGGGAGTTGAGGACTTAAAGGCTTTGTTGTTGTTGTTATATCCTTTAGCAGGACGTGAGTCTCCTAACCCTTGCTTGGAACTTGAAAGAATGTACTTTTGATCTTCTTTTTCATTTTTCTTTTCTTTTTAAAACTTTTTGGAAAGGTTACAGCTCAAAAATATTTTTGAATTTTATATATTGTACTCCAACTGAAGAAGTTTGAACTCTGAAGTGTCTGCATCTGTTGTATTCTTTTACAGTTTACATCCAGATTTGCAGTGTGCAACCAAAGTTCATACTCTGACCTTAGTTTGTGGTGCTCTCTACATATATCAGTCCTCTATGCAATATGCTTCAAATGCTCATATATTTATTTATGCAGCCGTTTCTCTCGCCTTTTTTTTTTTTGCATAGATGTTGAGACCTTTTTTTCTCAAACAAGTTTGTCCATGAAGCAGCATAAACCAAAATTTCTGAACCCTCAGCTGCGTTGATATATGCAGCTTCGGACAGGTTTGTCTGAGCACTGAGCATTGAATATGCAGACATTAAACACGAGTGGTCTATCTATCATTTACAGTATAGTGCACACATTTTATGACTGGAGATGATGAGAACATCTGGGATTTGGGATTCAGGCTTAGTAATACTAGTTACAAGGTCAAACGAAAACCTGAACAGTCCGTGAAAGCATGATCTGATGATCCAAATGGCCAATTCTGCTATAATAAGCCTGGGATGGGATCATCTTGGCTCTGAAACAATCCCTCCACTGCTTTACTCGCTCACTTTGAATACTGCACAAGCAGCGCGCTGTGGTAAAAGGGGACTGGGGGCGCACATGATCTCTGAACCCAAAAATGCCAAATTCACAGAATGTCAGACAAAATGCAGATCGCTTTCAGCCGCTGGCACAGAGCCAACGGTATGCAGCTTCTTCAGGGCTTCTTTGCCGCACTGCCCACACTGGCTGCATCAGGTATGGCCATTGGCCACATCCTCTCTCGGACTCGCCTTGCTGTTGCTTGTCCTCACCGCTCGCCAACCGAGGTTCTGTCTGCACGCCAACCGAAGCTCCGTCTGCACGCCAACCGAGGAGGCGGAGCATTGCACGGCGGGACGCGGGGACGCCCACTCCGCCGCTGCCTTTGTCTGGCTGTACGTAGCTGTACCGCTGCCACTTTGCTCCGGCCCCATTCTCCCTCCTCTCCTTTTCAGATCATCATCAGTCGACCAGGGGTCGGGCTGGGCCAGGGCATCGCCACCGCCACGGACTGCCATCGTCGCCGTCCCCGTCGCCACTCGCCAGCGTCACCGCCCAGCGCCAGCTGCCTGCCCTTCTTCCCCTGTTCCCCACGTGTGCCGCAGCCCGCAGCGTTGGTTGGGCTGGCCTGTTTCGGTCAGTGCGTGTAGTCTTTGGGCTCCTGATCCATTTCAGGCCCGATATAGGGCCAAGGGGGTGGTCGGCGCTCCCCAGCTATAACCCGGCCTGTTTGATTTGCTTGGCCCAGCTGATGGCCCGGCATCAGGGGGAACGCTCCTAGGATTCGTTTCTTTGGGTCTAGGCTCCCTCCGTCCTCGCGCGGGCGATTTCGGGGCGGCGGCGGCGGCTCGCGCGGGAACCATGAAACTTCCTCCCGCACTCCTCCTCGTCGAAATCCGCTGCCTTTATATACCGCCCTCCTCCCTCGCTGCCTTCTTCTCCCTCCTCCAGCTCTATCTTCCCCACTGCGTTCGCGTTGAGTGACCGGTGGTGTTGGTGTGGTGGTGGTGCGGCGCGACGGGCTTCTTCCTCTCTGGTCTTCGTCGTCGTTCAGGCGGTCGGGATCCGCTTGGCCGTGGCACTGTTGCGCCTCCTGCTGGGCCCCGTGGACGCGGTCGTCTTCCTCCTTCGTCTTTTTCCTCCTTCGGTGGTGCGGCTGGTCTTGGTTGGGGTCGATCTGCTTCGTCTCGTACCGGATCTACTTCTGCTTCCACTGCGGCTCTTCTTCTTCTCCGTCTTGCGCTTCTTCCTGTCTCCGTCGACTCCCCCGAGGTGAAATCCTCCTCAAATCCCCTTTGCTTTCATTCTAGGGTTTCCTGTTGTCCTATTTTGATTTCGATTTGTCTCTGTGGAATGATTGTTTGGGTACATGATGCTTGTGTAGTTGTTATGAATGTTGATTTCGAGCACTGAAACATTTATGCTGCATTGTTGGTACTTTTCATATGGTCGATGATGAATCTGTCCACTGTATACTGAAGTGTTAATTCTTTCATGGTCGATGATGATTATGTCCAATGCATTGGAGGCATTCTTTTTATGCAGCCGTGTTGTTAGCTTTTGATATGAATGATTGCACTTTTATGTTGAGACCAGCCAGGGTCTACTATACCCGAGTTGTATCTTTGAATGTTGAATGCATGTACATGAATCCAACTGTACAACGTGAGATGATGGCCAGGCAAGCAGCTGCCATGGTTGTGGTTATGCTTTTATTTTTGGTTACTAGACTAAGAAGAATTAGGGCCCAGCTAGAGCCTATTCCTTATGGTCCTAGGTCATTAAGCCAGCAGCATAGGCTATCCACCCTCCAAATGATATTTAACAACACTGATGTTGAGTGTTTGGCTATGTTGCGTATGACCAGAGCTCCTTTTTTTTTGCTCTATACAACCTTTTTAGAGGTAGAGGCCTTATTAGAGAAACCAGTGGATGTTCTGTTGAGGAGCAGGTTGCAATGTTCCTCCATGTTGTTGGTCATAACCAGACGTTCAAGGTAGTTCACCAGTCTTTTAGGAGGTCCATTGAGATAGTTAATAGAGTCTTCCACCAAGTTCTCTATGCTGTTGGTGAGTTTAGGAATGAAATGATCAAGCCTCCTACCACTGCCACATATCCAAAAATCATGGGTAGCCAGAGATGGTACCCATATATGCAGGTACTTGTTAATCATGTTTATCTGCCTTGGGTTTAACCAATTGTTGTGTTTGCACTTATCCACTATCCTACACATTTCTAGGACTATGTTGGTGCCATTGATGGCACACATGTGTTGACAAGGGTGCCTAGACACATGCAGCAGGCTTTTAGGGGTAGGAAACATAACCCCACAAAAAATGTGATGGCTGTTGTGGACTTTGATCTCAAGTTCACCTATGTCCTAGCTGGCTGGGAGGGCTCTGCCCATGATATACTCATTCTTGCTGATGCAATTGATAGGAATGATGGGTCCATAGTTCCGGAAGGTAACTCAAATTAATAGTCCATACACTTTTGTCCTTTAACTTGCCACACACCTTCACTGTAGTATATCTTTTGGTCCACTTGTAGGAAAGTTTTACCTGGTAGATGCTGGCTATGCTTGTCGCACTGGTTTCCTCCCTCCCTATAGGGGGGTGAGGTACCACTTATATAAATTTGGGAGCCGCAATTATCCTACCAATGCTAGGGAACTGTTCAACCTAAGGCATTCATCCCTTAGGGTGACAGTGGAGAGAGAGCATTTGGTGCACTCAAGAATAGATTTTGTATCCTAGATAATAAACATTTCCACACATACAAGACTTAAGTGAAGTTTGTACTGGCCTGTTATATTCTCCATAATTGGATCATTAGGTTTGGCATGGATGAAGTGGTGCCAGAAGAGGAGGGCTTCCTAGGCAACCAGCCTGAGGGTGATGAAACTCAGGCTGTGGGAGACATGCTGTCCCAGGACTCCACTGGCATGTCTAATAGGAGGGATAGCATTTGCAATGCCATGTGGGCTGGTAGGGGTACTTCTAGGGTTTGATTCATGCTTTGCATTCTTGTATAATTTCAGTTTGTAGACCCTGGATATGGAACTCATGTGGTGTATTCATCATCTGTAATAACTGTTGGACA